AGAAATTATGCCTCACAGCATTCATCCTGATTAATGCATAGGCCCTATTAGGTAACCAGAGAGCGTAGGCACCTACAAGGGTTGGAGATCCCAGACAGCAAGTGAGCACCCAAGAACAAAATAAGGCATGTATGGGGGGGGGGAGGGATTTGATTTTTTTAAAAAAAATAGCAAATGGCTACAAGTGAAGCTCTCTTTGAGTTTGAGCATCATGACAAATAAACTTTTTCCTCCCCCCACATATGAATCCCCCCCTACTCACATGGATTTCAGAATCAAGAGCTAAAAGATATCATTGTGAACTGCCCTGAATTGGACTCACAGGACACCCTTAACCTAGTCAGACAACTTCAAGGGCTGCATTTCATTATTTCTAACCTTGATTAATTTGTGGTTTAGGATGCCCTGTGGATTAAAGTGTGAGCCCAGCCCACTGAGTTCAATTATGGTTCAATATATGGGGTAGTCCCGGAAAATGAAGAGGTTAACGGATTTATTTATTTAAATTTATTATGTCCAGGTAGCTATGGGGAAAAGCTAAATAACTCTTGACTTGGAAGTAACTCCAATCAGATCTCCCCAACTGCTTCTCATGCTTCAAAAGGAGTGGAATTTTGGTGCCTAAGACACTGGGGATGTTACTTCCTGGTTACATACACACTACCAACAACGGGATTAATCTATTTTCTGGCTTCACACAGTATCGTGAAGCACAAGTTAACCAATCCTGAAAGGCAGAATTTAAAAATAAGTGAACAGCACACTGTCACACACACTAACCAACATTAATCCTATTCAAGCTTAGTTTAGTATGTGGATGCAGGCCTCGAACTGAGACAGTACGCCGCCAAATTCATTTTTGGAGCCGTCGCGCAGCGCAGCGCAGGGCAGTGAACCGGGCGGCGGGAGTCTTGGCTCGGTCTTTTAACTTCAGCTGGTCTGGATCCAAGCCGGTGACGAGGACTGAAGCCTGAAGCCAGCCGGCAGGGGGTTTCCCAGTCTCCAAGCCGGCCTTTAAGTCCTGCCCGTCGGGCGTTCAGCTTCGGCGCAAGCAGGAGTGAGCGGGTGGGGAGGGGCGCGGGGACTCTCATGAGGCGCTGCCTCTCTGCCGCCTGCTGCGGCTCCTTCGACCGGCCGGCTGGGGGAAAAACTGCGTCGGGCAGG